TTTCATAAAGGAATTACTTCAGGGGCACTTCTATAAATGAATTCAATTGTGGAGCTCTGATTCCCCTTTTCATACCATCAGCCATGAGTACTTCATTTTAAGGACAGAGCCGACAGCAGCTATATTTTACCACAGAATGGCAATCATTTATCAACCTCAAAAAAGAAAGAGGTCTGACCAGACCGGAATTCCTCTGCATTCTCAGTCTGAGGCTCTACCAAACGAATGATCGCTCAAAGACGATAAAGTGGCTCAAAAATCTCGGCTTTAGATATTACTCATTTATGTCTTCAGCCATGCGACAGAAGAATCACAAGACGAACCATGTATATTTAATTTCTGAACTGGATCTATTATTTTTATTTATTCATCAAAAGTTATTTGCAAAAGTATGTATATACCCACCCGATATGAAAAGCCATACTTTTAGTTGCTAATAACATATGCACGGTATATCAGCTCTTAAAACATCATAGATGATGAACAAGACGCTATCTTTACAAATGAAATCATGCTAGCAACATCGATGCACCACACGTGCTCAAACGGCATGGAATATTAGTTTGCTTAAACCCGTAAACGTACAAGAGTAAGGGATAAGCACCATAACTCGGGTTCGCCTAGAGCAGCAGGCTTACTGACATTCCGGAACACGAGCTGAAACTTTTGACAGCTAGTGAAAGTAGACAAAGGGAAGCCACTGGTGACGTGCAAGATGTTAAATAATGTACACACAGAACAGAATCATGCGGTTGTAGTGCCCCTATTCAAGAAGGGAGAACACGGGGAGTACTTCAATTATCAGGGCATTAACATACTGGGTCACTAGGAAAAAGTAGACGCAAAGGTTTTAGAACGAAGATGCTGCGGAATAGCTGACCATAAGATACAAGAAGATCAGTGCGGCTTCAAGTAAGGACGAAGCATATCTGACCAGAACGTCGCCTTATGCCAGCCTGTTGAGAAATTGTGGGAGTTCGCCCACGTGACGTGTGGACATAAACTAAGTCCATGACCGGATCCCTTGCAACAATCTGTGGGCATAAATGCGAACATATGGGATCGATTACCAGTTGCTACGGGCCATCCAATCATTTTACGTTGATAGCAGGTGCTGCATCAGAACGAATGGTGTTAAGTCGAGTCCTTTCAACGCTGGCACTGGCCTCCGCCAAGGCAGCGTTATGTCCCCCTTTCTTGCTTGTATCGTGCATGGATAAAATAGTCAGGCGCAGCATGATCGATGAATGTATCAGTGTAAGAGATGTAGAGACGAAAAGGTTGTTGTTTGCAGACGACTTTCTTTTGTGGACTTCTGAAAGTGATCTGGAGCGTGTTCCGGAGAGGTTCTGAACCGAGTGCGACGAATCTAAAACGAGAAGCCCTAGCGCTTTCTCGTTTTCCTGCCCGCTCCTCTTTTCAGACAAACGGAAAAGCACTGGAAAAGGTGAAGAAGTTAAAATACGTTGCAGTCGTACTTACTAGTGATGGAAAATTTTAAGAACAGATCGACCGGCGAATTGGAGTAGTCAGTGGCGTTCAGTAGTCAGTGAACTAGTCCGAAGCACTGTGACTAAAGCAGAGCTGATGACTAGACTTTCTGTGCTCAAGTCTGTCTACCAGGTATGGTCACGAACCATGATCTATGGCTGTAAAACATCGCGGGTGAAATGGGTCAGAGACGAATAGCTGAACTTTCGCCTCTTGACATGGTACGGAGTTAGGAAAATTGAGGGAACCTGTTTTTACAGTCGTTACTCTTAACAGATTGAAAAATCACAGCTGGCATGATTTGGGCACGTCTTCCAAGTGTTTCCAGAAAGTACTTTTCTAATGGATAAGCTGCAAACCCCAGGGACAACGAAGAATGACCTGGGGCAAGCGTTTCGAAAAACGATAGTCCTGACCGGAGTTATCGATTATCAAAGCTGGCACTGGATCAGAGACGTGATGAATGTTACCGCGCCATCGAAACGTACTTACCGGCTGTTGCTTCAGTGAACGAAGCGATATGCGATACATCTATTGAGAATTGGGTTTACGCAAGATAAAAATTTACTCTTCAGTTCATTCGTGTGTCGTCTCACTGAAAAGCAGCTAAACAAAACAAAACAGTGATCGATCAAGCGATAGGCCGAGGTTTCCACTCATATCTCTCGAATGCTGTTCAAAGCAAATGAAATTGTAAAACTTAGTTGTTGGTCGGGTCGTACACAACAGGGAGTTAAGTGGCGTTGGAGCCGAAAGTTCAAGTGGCGTACTGGCATTACTGGAGGAAAAACGTTTTAAAAGACGTGTAAAGGAGGCATTAACTATCCAGTACTACACTGCTACATTTTCACCCATGACAAAGGATTTCATCTACGTGAGGACTGAATGAGCTGTGCAACACCTGTTACCGAAAATCTGTTTAACCAACAGTCGGGATCAGATAGATTTCCGGTTAAAAGAAGCCTAGCCACTGCAGATGACCCAAACAAAAACCGAACCATACCAGATTTGAAAATGGCTCCTGAGATA